CCCTTTATTTATCAGGAATGTTGATTCCATGTTATCCTTTTTTACAGTGTTTCTAGAGTGAAAAAACAAAACGAACCGGCTTACGATTCTAAATGGGCCTGCTTTCTGAAAATTTTGACAATTGGGTTTGATTGTTGGGCTGGAAAATGTAATCCTTTGACTTATCACAAAGTACCCTCCATACGTTGGAGATTGCTATTTTGCTAGCCATCTATTATTAGCCCAAAAAAAAAAACAAAAAAAGGGCCCCAATCCCACTAATCATAGTTTATTAGTTAATTGCCATAGTATAGATCTGTGTTTAGCTTGGGCCAGTGATAATGCTTGTATCTTTTAACAACAACATGCTAATTTGAACCAAATACTTCATTGAGATTTATACTTATTTTACTCATTCTTTAATTGAAATGAACTATTTTATGATCCTTTCAATAATGTAGCAAATTCATCTAAGATACCCAATGTCTATTGATTCAAGAGGAATAAGAGATGATGAATTTTAGGTACTTGTGCTTCTAACTAGAATTTGAGCTGCCATTCCAAATCTTTGATTAATTTGGTCAAAGTTATTGTGTGAAGCAAAAACTTTGAGACATTGAGATGTTTTGTGTAACATAATCCTAAGCTTGAACAGACTATATTATCAAATAATTTAAGCAAGTTGGCCTTGGAATTGAACTCTTGTTGACTTTGATAGGAAATTTAGTTGTGTCGATCCCAAAATTAGGACATTTAGCTTGATCAATCATGTAAGGTTGTCTTGGCTTGGCTTGGTTCACAAGAAGATAAGAATACTCTTCATTTCACATTTTAAAATGGAGAACGGAAAGTGATTCACCACAGTGATAATTCATGGTATAATCTCACTCTCATATGATACTAATTATGATTGATTTTTTTTTTTTACTTTACGAGACACAGAAATTAATATACATTACTTATTTAATGTCTTATTAACATTGTGAGAAAATATTATAGTTCTTTTAAATTAATTTTTTAAATATAATTAATAATTAACAATCGATGTAATCAATGATTTAAATAATTCAACGGTCATTTTTTTATTAGAAGTAATAGATCATAAATTTAAATCGTATGACATGTGAATATGATAAAATAATAAATAAAAAATAATTATCTCTCATTACGTAATTAATAAAAATTGATGTAAAATAATTATTATATATAGTTTAATATCTATATACTAAAAATGAACGATTGACAGTTGTTTTTTAGCGTCTAAAACAAATCTAGCTTATAGCTATGTCAACAATTTATTTTTAAAATCTCAAGATGCTTTCAACCAATAATAATTATAATAAAGAACAGGAAAAACGCAAAATGCTCATAACATCTATAGGCTATTCCCTATCAATTTCTTAAATAATATAATAAATCCTCTGTCATTGGTTGAATCAATAGAGGAATAGCACTCCATAACCTACAATAACTTAGAAAATATCTTTTAAGAGAACCTAATACTAGTATCTTAGATTTTTTTCTGGGGTCAGCCAGTTTTTTTTTTTTTTTAAAAAAAATTTATTTATGAGTTGGTTTATCTTGTATTATTATGATAAAAAATAATAATTGAATGGACACTAATTGGTACACACCCGAATTTCACACTCGGGTATGCACCCTCACATAAAAAAAAAAATTGAACCGAGTGATAGACATTTTTTTTTATTTATATGGTGTGTGCACACCCGGGTGTGGGATCCGGGTGTGCACACATTATTATCCTAATTGGATAATAATTATGATCTTTAAAAAACTTTTAAATTAAAAAAATATTTTTTATTTTATAATTTAAAATAAATCAATAAAAAATTAAATACATAACATTTAAAATTAAAATAAAAATTAATTTCATTATTTTTAAAATAAAAAAAATACTTATTAATCAATAATTACTTTTTATCTTGCACCCTCACCAAAGAAGGGCTAAATCCTTTATTTATTTTAGGGCACATTAGGATATTTTTAAAGATCTTATAATACTAACACCTCTTCCTTCCACACAGACATCATTCAATTTTTATTTTCTTCCTCTCTTTGCGATGGAATGATGTCAATCGAACGTAGATGGAAAAAGTTGCCAAAAGAAAATGAAAGAAGCGAAAAAAAAAAAGAAAAAGAAAAATGAAGATCATTAGATAATGACACTTCAAAAATGAAAATACATTAGTATTAGTGCTAATTTCTAGTTATATGTCATTGTCCAAACACTATTTATGTGCTTCATCTTCATACATGTTTTTGAACTCGATTTTGATTACCAACGTAGAGCCTAAGTGCATGGAATTTATTGGTGGGGAGTTTAATTCTTCTTTTGGGCAATTTGAAATCTGAGCCATCTTTCCCATGTGATGGCCCCATTTCAATATATATATATATATATATATATATAATG